CCGAGCGCTAGCGCGCCCGGTTGCACCGCCTCCTTCGGCTGCGCCTTCTTACATTCGACCTTCTTGTTCTTGATCGTATGGAAGTGTATCTCGCACACGCGGTCCACCACATCCTCGTTCTCGAAGGTGACAAACCCGAAGCCGCGATGACGTTTCGTTTGTTGATCCATCAGCATCACCGTCTCCTCCACCTTCCCAAATTGATTGAAGTAGGCCTTGACCTCGTCGCTGCTGGTGTCCTGACTGACACCACCCACGAAGATCTTCTTAGTGCGATTGGCCTGTTTCGCGCGATTCTTCGGCGTCGCGTGCTTCGGATCAATCTTCTTGCCATCAAGGGTGTGGATGGGACACTTGAGGACTTTGTCGACGCTACCGGGCTCGGCGAATGTGATGAAGCCGAAACCGCGGCTACGCTGTAACCGAACAAGCCGAGAACCGGCACGATGCACATGGACCGTCTATTGCGTGTCTCCTCCCTCTTTTGTTGCGACTCTTTTGTTTTTCGCTCTCGCAATCGAACGCTCCGACATCCGATTCTCATTTTTCCCGACTTGATCGAGGGATACCGTTTTTATTCGCACTTGGTTCAATTATCGCAAGACCGCTAAATGTTTAGGACGAGTTTTCATGATCATGAAAACTTTTCACGATCGTTGGGGCAAAGCTAATTATAATTTGTCGATTATTGCGAGTAAAATAAGTACCACACGATTTTCATAAAATTACTGTTCACTTCTAACCTGCTCAAATGATGATCAAAAACTGATGACCGTTCGTCTTCTCCCTAACATTGCGTTGGGTTCGATTCGGAATATAAGAATGCTCTGTGATTGCGAAATTATCCTAATCTTTAATAAATCCTGCTTTCGTTGATCTCTCGTAGCTTTTGTTATAAACGGTTAACTAGTGCTACCAAACTACCATTTGCATGCAAGACTGTCCAAGCCAATGTTTAAGACAAACATTCTAATGTTACGTGAAACAAAGACTGCGATAAGACTCAAATCCATTACGAACGTTAAAGAGCTACTAATATATATATATATATATACATACATACATACACATATATACATATGTATATATAATATGTATAAACATTACGTCTGTCCCACCCATTCCCGTTCGCGAAATATCCGATATTACACCCGCATTCGACATTTACCGCCTGCAAATCCGACAAAAGAAAAAAAAACGACAACTCTGCCTCTCCCACCTTCTTTTAATATATAATGCGATTAATGCGATTAATAATACCTAATACAATCTACTTCTCTTGATACTTTATCAGCAATTAATTACACCGATTAGTACAACTTCTCATCTACTACGGTCTACTACGGTATATAGTTTCGTGCAAAAGTGGAAGGAGAGATTGCTTGGTGCATCGAATCCTGTCGAGGTAAACTCCTTTCTCTCGCGGCATTTTCGCGGCCGACCTCCCGCGAAGCACGAGGATCGGGGTCGAGCCGAAAACCGTTACCACGGCAAATCAACAGGCGCGGCATGAACGCGATTTGGAAACGCGTGGGCAATATACGAGGCTGTTCTCACCGTAAATTGAATAATACAAATTTAATCATATCCATGACATTATCAACAAAACATTCAATCGATAAAAACTATTTCTGAAAATAGGTTTCTAATCATACAAATTGTACGTACGATGCATTAGGAGATAGAGGAGTACTGAATAAATTTAGAAACGTTAAATTAGGAAAAGAGATTAGAAAAACTATAAATTTCTCACACAAGTTTAAATTAAAAGATACTATTGCACGCATTCTTTTAATTAATGCGGCTTTGAAATATTATCAGAACGTGACCGATAAAAACGCGAGAAATGAACAACTTTCGTTATTAGCTTGACAGCTGGTGAATTAAATGACGCGCGCGCGCGCGAGAGAGAACAACCTCGTACAATAACCGTAATTGATCGGGCGAGCAAACCAAGAGATATGCTCAGATAGATGGACCGACCTGCGTCATCGGATCCTTCATGATGAGGACATCGGTGACAGTGCCGAACATGTTAAAATATTCCCGCAGCTTTTCGCTGCTCGTCTGCCAGGAAAGGCCGCCCACGAAAAGCTTGCCCGGCGCCGGGTCGCCGCCGTTTGGCGTACTCCTGCCGGAGCTGCCTGAATGGCTACCGTTTATCGGCACCAACGTGTTGTGGAAGTCGTGCTCGATCGCACCGTTTGTTGCCTCCATGCCGGCGCTGCGAACAAAAATAAATCGATCATAAGTCCATTTGCGATCAACCAAAAATCCACGTGGCATTCCGGCTCGTATTAGTCTTCGTACTAAAAGCTATTAAATATTATGATTTTACTTTACACAAATTTTTTTAAAACATATAGTACCAATTCTTTTATTTCTTCCAATAAAACAAATTATATATTATACACACACACACACGTATAATATTATTTATGTATAAATTATACATATATATTAAACATGAAAAGATAAATAATGTTATATTAACAGCATTAGCCGACAGCAATTTTATTGAAACAAGAATGACAAGAATATAACTTATTTTATTATTAATAGATACTATTAAAGAATTAACACGATTATTTTTAGTTAAACTACTGTTGACTTATATAATATTGTTAATATATAATTTTTTCTATATATATAATTTTTCCTATATATATTTTTTCATTCTTGCGATATATAAAGATGAACATTTTTAACTACAAAGCGTTTGTGTTAAAGTAATTTAATGCTAATATATTCATGCGCAAATTAAATTATACATCGTGTTAAATACAGACGAATTTCTATTTATTACATTTTGCAGCCATTCTTTGGGAAAAGCGTTCGTGCAGATGGCGATAAACATCTTACAAATATCGACAGTTTTATTAAGAGCTCGTGCTCGTATATTTTTCTCGTTTCAGTTGATACCGCTCGTCTTATTCAACGCTTGCGTGATGCTCGCCGTACCCTCCATGATCTATCATAGATTCTTCGTTACTACGATTGACGTTCAGTAAGTAGTGGGTTCTATGCTCTTCCAGGCCGACGTTAAAGTGAAACAAGCACTCTGTCTCGCGCGACAAGTGTAAAAATAATATATCATTTCGCAAAACGATCGCGTCAGCAAACCCTGGAACTTGGACGGAAAATATAGCGCGGCCCGTCTATTCCTGTAAGCAATCTACATTCTATGTATATAACGCCGATGTGTTAAGGTCACTGTGTCTGCCGAGAGCTAACGACCTTGGCACTGCCACGTTTTATGTCTACTTACAAGGAACTTTTACTTACGCCGTGTAATATGCCAAGCGGTCCGTAATAGAAAAAAATATAAATATTTTTATCACAGGATTAAGTAAAGACGAAAAATAACGTTTGTCATCTACCGTTCTTTCGCATTTGCAATTTTTACGCATTCGTCAGGATTTATGTAAATGACAAAAACTGCAATGCACGCGAGAATAAATACCTGTATCTTTCCAAGTATAAGCGGATAATATTATCGTCTTATTTAGGTTGACCGATTACCAAAGATTTGAAATTCCGTCGGTACCGAGATTTTACGACCTGAGGAATCCTCGTAGTTTGAAGGTAAGTTTGCAAAATAAATGCGTTTTTATTTCTGACATAAATATAATAAGAACCATTTTGTAATAGTTACTTTTGATATTTTCATAAAATTTATTTTTCATGAAATAAGTTTTTACATAGTATTCTCGTTTCATCCAAGCTGTGTGTAGAATAATCGATAATCTCATGAGAAAAGAAAAACAATGTATCCGTCCATGCCCTGTCTCTCGCAATATCCATAAATCTCCGACCGTTCGCTGTGTTGCCACCGAACGCGCTTACATTTAATATCTAGAGACACAGATGAGCGCCAATATTTAATCAATTATTACACCTGATGTAAAACATTCATTTAAAGTAATTAATTAAAAGTGCAACGTGCACGTAATCTGCAGAGTTACGTGTCACTTGTGATATTTGTTATTATAAAACGAGATTAATTCTGACAACGATGTCATTGTCATCCTTAACCTTGATTAATTATTTTTACAATTATATTGATTAATTGCGTATCGCGTTATAACTGTCTATATTCGCTTATATTCGGCGTCGTTAAATAATTCGTGTTATGGCCGTATCACAAACATACTGTGTTTATCGGGTTTAAAAATCTGTTACATTGTTTTGTTCCGAGAGTCTTAATTAATAAATTCTCCTTAATTAATAAATTACAAAATCGGTTCACGTAACATAATTTAATTCTTGATCAAATGCGAAATAAAAGTGCAACGCAGTCGGCTACTGCGGTATCTTTGATAGAATTATTTTGTCTTTTGCTTATGCTGTATCCACATAATAATGACAATTGTCGTATCATGAATTTTGCCGCCGCAAAGCAATTAAGACTGTACAGCTTACATTTTTAAGGTATTTAAAAATGTAAGCTAAATACAAATCTGAAAATAATTTTGTTGACTATCAAAATTATTATTATAGCTCAAATTGGTAAAATGTCAAAACTTTATGTAGCATTTTGTAGCTCCTCATGCTTAAGATTCCCATGTAATTATTTTGATGGTGCAATAAAATTATTTTCAAATTTACATCCAAGTAAATTTTTAAAAACTTGAGCAAAATTGTCCTTTCCATATAGCTGCAGACATTTTGCGCGCGCTTTACGCACGTCCGACACATTCCTTCTTTTTTTTTCAGTTAGAAAGATATCTCGTATATCGCGAGTAACAAACCAATATCCCATCTACGGGCAGTACTGGCGTGGACTCGCCCATCCTGCGTTTCGCATGTGACTCGAGAGATACGTATGAAACTAAGAGAAACTATGGTCGTTCCGTCGTGTATATCTAACCGGAGATATACCGTGCCGTCGCGATGCCTTTTCCCTCAGGATTCCAGCGTCGTAACGCGTCGTACATTCACCGCCAGCACCGACGGCGTTGCGGCCGTACGGCGAGGGTGCGCGCGGGGAAAGAGAGGTTGGCGAGTGGACGGGACAGCAGGGTGCGCTGTGTAGCAGTGGGGTGGACGGTCGGAGGAGAGCCACGGGGGGTTGCGCGTTAGCCCGGTTTAGATATATCGCCGCGAGCGGCATGGTCGACATGCGCGCGACGAAGGGTGTCGCGGGGATGTAGGGCGGCGAGACCGGTAAGCATATACAGGGGTTGGAGCAGGATGGAGTGCGACGAGGGTGGAGCGGAAGGTCCGGACGAGCGAGAGAAGAGAGGAGAAAGAGCCAGGAGAGCGAGTCGTTTGGGGTTGGGAGTGGCGGCGGCGGAGGCGGCGGCGGCGGCGGCGGCGGAGGC